TTATGCCGCGATGCGGCCAAATATCTACGTGTGATGTCCTAAGCCCCTGCAAGAAAGGCAGGCCTGCGTCTGGATGGGTACCTGCACCACTTGGTCCTCGTACTGGACCTGAGGAACCTCGACAGTCTTCTGGACCTTCTGCACCACTGGGACGTGCACCTGCACCGTGTGACTGCCCCAAAAGCAACTTCAGCCGGGCGATCACGGGAGCCAACCACGCCTGCTTCTGGATAGGGACCTGCACGACCTCCTCCTCAAAGACGACCTGTGGCACCTCCACCTCTTTCTGGATCGTCTGGATCATGGGCACATGCACCTCACACACACGCACACACGCACAAACACGAAATCATATCTAGAAAAGTTTCATGTGCTCGCCGCTGTCGTGCGGCACCGCATAGCTAGGACCCTGGAAAAATTATGCGGTTGAGTCTTTGAGCTACTGATCCTATGGAAACACCCCCAGCTTTGAACCCAATGCCCAACAAGGGCGGCAAACCCCGAAGAAGACCCCAGGCAACGCGCCTGCTTGTGAATGGGGACTTCGATGTGGTGGTCGGTGTACTCCACCTGAGGCACCTGCTTCGAGAATTTCGGGCAAAACTGGGACCAAGGTTGAGAGCTTTAGGGCTTTGTAGAGTTTAGGAGTTTAGGAGTTTAGGGTTCAAGGGTTTAGGGCTTCAGGGGTCCTTAACGGAGCCACAATAGCGAACCTTTACTGTCCTTACAGATGTACTTGCGGGAGAACATCCCGCCCTGATCCGAGTCTGGTTGCTGAGCCCTGAACCCTAACTAACCCCGAAAACCTGAATCCCAAAAACCAAAACCAAAAACGGCCAGGATCCCTCAACCCACTGAACCCAAGACTTTACTTCCCCCAATGGCCTTGGGACAAAAAGAAGGCTTAACTTTCGGAGTAATACCCCACCACAGGAATCCAACTGGATTGAAGCTTTGGCCGTGGAGAACTAGAGCGGCCCTGAAAATCAGAACAGTGGCATGCTTTTCTCTAGTGATATTTCGAACTATGAAACATCCAGCGCTGCTTTGTTCCTGATGATCCGGAACCCTAAGGAATTGTACAATGAATTATTCAGCCATTTTAGGACGCAGGCCCGAAGCCTGAATCTGCTTCTCGACTTTCTGGACCATTGGCACCTGCCTTCCGAAGGAGGGGTCGCGTATGTTAGGCTTGGGAAGGTTCGAGGAAGTGGTTCTGCATGTTTGGCGATGGGTATCGTACCCAAGCCCTATTCTAATTATGATGGCCCCTACGTGCTATCTGAAGGCACGTACTTGCGTGGGTTTAGGGCTTGGGGTTTAGGGCTGATCCAGTAAAGCACACACACTCACGCAATTAGTCGCCCTGCTTCTCGAGCTTGGCCTTCCAACACCAAGACAGGCCAAAACCAAGAGCTGAGCTATTTTGCTTTATTGTAAAAATGTAATGTAAGATAATATCAGGTGGTACATTATCACCCAATAAGAAATAGTGCAATGTAATGTAACAGAATATGATATAAGATGAGGTATAATGTAACGAAAATGATAGGCTAGAATAGACCAGAACAGAATATAATATCATATAAAATGATGTATAGTAGAATATAGTACGGTATATCAGTCATGCCCGCCTGTGTTTCACAACGGGCACATCGACAATCTGCTCAACCTCCTGCACCACAGGAACCGACACCTGGCAGCCAGTGCAGAAAAATATCGAGAAACAAAAAGAACTTCCATCTCGAGCAGCCCGGCGTGGGCGGTGTGGTTTCAAGGACTAGGCCCAGGCACTCAAAGCTTTGCGAGATTTCCAGCTCCTTCAGAGGGCTGCTTGAAGAAAAACCCTAGAAGTAACCCCTACAACGAGTCCCATTATCATCAACCTCACCCCCAAACCCTGCAAGGGCTATTTAGGACAGACAGGCAGTTCTCCAAATTAGGGTCCTTTTTAGGACCCTAAAAAGGGGCCCCAGTTTAGAGAAATACCCCTGTAAGGCTTTTAAGTCAAGATTTTGAGCTGAGCATTTGGCTTCGGCTGTGCGAGGCTTTCCGGCTTAAGGCCTTTCCATGGCTAGTAAGGGTTTAGGATTTAGGGTTTCAGGGCGTAGGGCCAGAAAGGCAGTTTCGTGTGTCGAGGACCGGCAAGCGATGTATGCGTACATATACAGGACTAGAGAGGCTTAAAACTGAAACTACCGATCGCGAGTGAGTCTTGTCGAAATCGTTCAAACCTGCCGAAGTAAACGTTAACCCAAAGCCTGACCCCAACCGTACACAGGAAGCCCGAAACCCTGACCCTATCCTAACCCGAAGCCCGAAGACCCTAAACCCTTAGATCCTAATGCATCAAAATCCTAAACCCCTAAACCCATAAACCCCTAAGCCCTTAACCCCTCAAATGCTGGGCCTGCTTCTCAACGACCTTCTGGACCGGAACGTGCTGCACCATCACCTGGGGTCAAAGCAAGGAGCTCTCTTAGTTGCTTCAAGGATAAGTAGGCCAGATTTGTAGGGGCTAAAAAGGCTCTACGAGGCTTCTGACAGGTTCTATAGCGGCTTTATTCTCAGGGTGTTGTAGTGATTTCTCCTGGTAGGGTTCAAGGTTTCGGATTTAAGGTTTAAGGGCCCTCAGCGATAAGGCTTTCGCAGGGCTTCAGGTGTTCAAATTGAAGTGCAAGGCTTTAAGGTTTGAGGGCTCAAGCGCGTAGGGTTGAGGGATGCGGGGATGTAGGAGTGTAGGATGTCGAGCTTTTGGTGGAAGGCTTTTGCTGCAAAGCCTAGGGTGCAGGGCTCAGGCTTTGGAGGTTGAGCAGTGTAGCGCTTCAGGGTTTGGAGTGTTTAGTGGGTTCAGGGAATGCCGCTTCAATTTCTGCCTGCGCAAAAAACGTCGAGCATAAGTTTCGGGGCATAGGGGTTAGGTGCAGTCCCAGACAAGTCTTGATGCTCGAATAGCCGCAACATGTTTCACGTTAAGCGCCTAATGGCAATGTCAATAGGAGCCTTAATAGTTAACATCAGAACCTTTGAAGGAGGTACATTATACTATTTCAAAATCAGTAACCCTCATAGAGCCAGAGCCCTCTTTGGTAACCCTTACACCCTAAACCCTAAACCCTGAACCATAAACCCTGAACCTTAAAATGAACCATTAGGGGGGCCCTGATCCCTTTAGAACTCAAACATAAATCGATACAGAGACCTTCAATTTTGGTCTTCAGTGTTTCAGGGCCAACTCGCGCCGCCTCCCAACCGATGGGTTTATAGTTCAGGGCTTAAGGATTTAGGGGCTTAGGGTCTAGGGATCTAGGTTTGGGGCTTGGAGGTTTTCGTGTTCAGGTTTAGGGGTTTTAGGGCTCAAGGTTTCCCAAGCCCGCCTTCGGAATCTGCACGATGTCCTTCGGCGGCGGTCAAGCAGCACAGCAATTGCAATGCTTAACTCCCACGTACCCCTCTAAGGCCCTGCAAATAATCTCGTGCAATATCATGGACCATAATGTAATACGACATATAATAACATTACAATATTTTCCATATTTGTATAAATATATATGCACATATATATATATATATATATATATGTATATATATATATATACATATTATCTGCAGCTTACCGAAGGCCCACTTCGCTCTTTCGCCTTCGAAGTTTTGGCCAGGAGTTGTACTCCAAGAAAGAAGCTTTCAGGGTTGAGGGATGAAGCACAGGTCTACAATAGGTCCTAAAGGGAGTAGAGGGGTCTGGAGCTTGGGTCTCAAAGCGATGAGGAGGGGCTCGGATGTGCCACGGTTTAGGGGTTTCGGGCTTCAGGGCTTGCCGAGTGGAGCCTGATGCGTGCGCAAACAGCACTCGTGAAGCAAGTACGGACCAGGGGTGCAGAGCAAACTAGCATGGTGCAACTCGGATGTCCACCTTGCCGGCCTAGATGACAGAAAGAATCACACGGTAGTGGCTTCTGCATTCTGCAGAGTTACAGGTGAAGAAGGAGCTAGGCATACTCGGTGTCCTCCTGCACGATGGGCTTCTTGCGCTGGACCACCTTGTGAACCTCAGCATGGCGGCAACCTTCACAAGCATCAGAATACCTGTTGATCGCCTGTCATTTCTCAAGACGCTTTTGGTTGCAACTGCTCCGACCCCAAACCCTAAACCCCTATAGTCTGTATACTACAACAAAATAAATCCCCAATCCGCCCCATCGGCCAGCTTGGCGCCCCACCACCACCGGCTTCACGACTTCCACCGTTTCCACGGTGTTTTGAACCACGGTGTCCACCACTGTGTTCAGCACCTTGCTGCCAGCAGGGCTTAATAGGGTCACTGCTACCAGTGCAAGGCTGGCTCACAGAAGAGTTGTCGTGACCCCCCTAATCCACCAACTGTCGGCCCGAAAACCCTTCAGGTTGTTTTCTTTTGGGGGGTTCTCGGGTCTAGCGGCCTTAAGCGCTGAAACCCTGAACTCTAAGTACCCAAAGACCCCGAACCCCAGAGTGCCGCCGCGTGGCCTTCGGCACCTTGATGACCTTCTCCTCGACGTGCACTGTGGGCACCTTTCGGGGAGGATCTTCAGGATCCGAGTTGCAGGTAGGGGTTCCTTTAAGGGGCTACTGACGTGAGATCTACTATAAGAGCTACCCTGGGGGCTACGAATACTCTCAGGACGTTTGGAGTTAGGGCTTGGGGCTTAGGGTCCTACAAGGCTGGGGTTCAAGGATTTGTTTCTAGTTCCTGTTCGCCACAAAGGGCTTGTGAAGTCGGGTTCTTGCAGAGGCGTTGTTGGCAGTTTGTGTCTCAGACCGTTCCAAGAAGAACCATGGCCCCCAAATCCAACACGCGACCAAACCCGAAACCCCAAACCGTCAACCCCAAGCCCTGAACCCTAAACCCCAAACCGTTGGAACAATCGTCGAGTAATGCCCTGAAGCTTCAAAAATCGTGCCTGGACCGTCTTCTCGATGACCACCGGACGAGGCACTTCGACCTCATGACGGTATGCAATCGGGCACAGGCTGGTGGTTTTGGGTTAGGCGTAGCGTACGAAAGCTTTCTGTCAAGGGCTCTATTCGCTGACCTCTATGTACTGCTGCTGATGATGCTGCTGCTACGACTACAGCTACGATCGCCACGACGACAACGACTACCACTGCGACTACTACTACCAATACTACTACTAGCACCACCACCACCAACAACAACAACTACTACTACACCACTAC